TCTGTTTTTATCTCAAACGGAGCCCCGCCGCATTTCCCACGGTCCGTGAACGCACCACGGTCGTTTCTCTTTAAGTGCGGATGAAAGGCTGAGCAACGATTGTGTAATTTGGGTGAAAGAGAAGAGAGGAGTCGGGAGAAGTGAAGCAGGAGGCGCTGAACAGGTTCGGTTCTGTCTCTTCTGCTGGTGTTTCTGTTCAGGTGTTATTCGGACGGGATTCACGGTGTGCAGGTTTTCCGTTCATTCTGCCGGTCCTGGTTTTATGCAACCGTCGTTGTTCACCGGCTTTGGACGGTTTTCCTCTTCGGTAAAAAATTATTAAGAGGCTGGATGTTATTAAAATCAGAGGGAAGTTTCCTTATATGCTGCTGATAATCCAGTAATACATTACAGTCCTGTAATAATCCAGAATATCCTCCAGTTTCACTGCAAACTTTCCCAGCGGGTTTTTTTTTTTTTTTTTTAGTATTACGGTTTTATCCCCGCCCACTTTGATCTACTAGTCGAGGTAAGCTGCTCATAAGTTTACATACGCTGGCAGCATTTCTCTTTCTTCCGTTCTGATGGATATTTTTCCTGGATATTTTCTTTTATTGGTGGTTTTTAGTTGGGTGATAATATTGATTTTCTGACAAATCATAAGAAACAACCCAACTGATTCTGATCAGAACCTGGTTTCTGATTGTCTGTCCAGAACCTCCACTAGTTCCTGTTGAGTCCATCTTGGGTTCTGGATCATTATTTTAAAATGTTGAATTTTGTCCCATGTTCTCGTCCCACACCATCGTCGCTCCACCTCCGTGTTTCAGGGGAGAAATGGTGACCTTACCGACCCCTCTTGTTGGTTAATGTAGGCCACTAGTTTGTGAATTAGTTTGTTCATTCACCCCCAGTCGGCTGCTTTTAACATTTATTATGATTATAGTTTCAGAATGCTTCACAGGATGATGAAAAGTAAAAACCACTGAATAAGAAAAACAGTTTAGAAACAGCATTATGAAAACAATAGCAGCAAAAAGCACTAAAATAACATGAAATATATGAACAAAACATGTTCTAAAATATTGGTAACCTCAATAAAGAAAAATATTCCAACATTTCTTTTTTTGTTCACTTTACAAAGAAACCCTTTAGCAAACTGTTTCTGTTCTGTTCGTCTTGCAGGCCTGTCACAATAATCAATAAATTAATTAATCACATGATGGATTAAAACAAGCTCAATAATTTTAATTTGCATGATTGTTTTTTCTTTCTTTCTACCAAACACTGGATGATAAAGTCTTCAGCATAATGTTTTGGTCTCAATTAACCTTTTTTTAAGGACATCTTTATCGTTTGTTGTGATAACTCCTGGGACAGTTTATTGTCCAGCGACATTTGTTACTGTGACGGGCCGAACTGCAGCTGAAGTTCAGTTTTATTGATAAAGATCCGGGAGGAAAAAACGATCTGATCAGATGTTTGGTTGTTTTCAAGGCTTCAGCGATGGAGCTAACGTGGGCTAAAACCTTAGTGCTAACAGGAGGAGTTCTGCTTGTTCCTGTTTTCGCCATCGTTGCGTCCTTCGTGTTCTGGCCCGGAGTGCTGCTGAAGGCCTTCAACTGGTAAACACACACAGGACGCGCCGCCTCCATTCACGCCTCACGGCTGATGAGTCACTGAATGACCTTTCACCTCAATATGTTCATCCTGTAAAGTCAGCGCTTCTTCATACGTTCTGGTTTCAAACTCATTCATATCAAGATCGTGAATGTCCTCAAAGGGCTGGTTGTGGCAGAAAATATCGATGGAACCCATTAACAAATTACAAACATGTAAATAAATACCTGTCTCTGCATTATACTTATAAAAGTTAAATAGTATCGAATATCTTTTTACATCTTTTTACATTGATATAATTTGGCACACTGCAAAAAAATCTGCATTTCTTTGATTAAGATGGTATCAATCAAAGAAATGCCACATGAATAAAACTTTGTTTTATTCATGTGGCTCTTTAGAGTCAAGAGGGCCGCAGAATGAGCTGTGACGGGCCAGATTTGGCCCCAGGGCCTTTAGTTTGACTCGTGTTCTCAGAACTGTTGATGGAAATTGCTGCTATAAACCGTTTACTGCCATGAAACGATGAGTGTCATAACCTTCATGTTGGGTTTCTATCTGCGTCATTCTTCTTCGGTTTATGTAATTTCTCTTTTTACAAAGACATTTTCTGATCCAGAAATATTCAGCTGCTTTATTGTTTTTGCAATGAATTATGAAAGCAGACTGTTTATTGATAAACAGCTCGTCTCTGTGGCTGCAGGATCCTCACCAACATCCAGATCAGGGCCGGTACAAGTCTTTTTGGGGCCCAGAGCAGATTTTCATTTGGGCCCCTCTCCCCATACCAACATGTCAACACCAGATGCTTTAGCTAAGCTACCAACCCTCGTTAGCATCATGTCAGGACACTTCTGTAAAATAAATCTTTGATCTGAATGAGTCTTATCCTGGTTAAATAAAAGTTGAAGAAGAATTGGCTTAAAATGTACCAATGTTAATATGACTGTTCATTTTCACCATACAGGAGCAGCAAATAAAAAAATACATTTTGAAATGTGGAGTGGTATTTAAGTGTGCCATATTATTTTAATTATTATTATAAATATTTTAAATAATTAATTATTTAAATTATTTAAGTAACATGAGCTGAAAAACATTAAATTTCTTTCAATTCCCCAACTGGGGGCAGCCAACAGCAGGAAGAGATGAAAAATGGCTACCAACTATAAAAATAATATAAAACATCTTTTTTCTGTGTTTTAATAGCATATTTTTAAATAAATTTATTTTATCATGTTAGCTTTTTTCTCTTGAGGGCAAAAATTCAATTCAATTCCCAATTCAATCAGTTGAATTGGGACGGCTTGGTTCAGATGGTGGCGCCATGTTCTGGTCCCGAATAAAACGGCTAACATCCAAAAACAAAACCTTCAGGACTGGAAAACTGTGGATCAGAACCAGATTAGAGGAAAGCCTGACTGTTTGGAAGGACGCTCTGGATCCAGAGGTCAGAGGTCGGTTCTGGGTTGCTGGGTCTAACCCGCTGCTCTCCTGTCAGGTACAATCGCCGCTTGCAGGGCATGGTGGTCCGTTACTGTCACAGTGGAACTTACCGCTTCTGTTATACCACCCGCGGGACACCAGGGGGCGCCACACCGTCGCTGCTTCTGCTGCACGGGTTCACCGCCTCCAAGGACATGTGGCTGCCTGTTGTCATGGTAACACACACACACACACACCACTTCACATCGTTAAGGTCCCAACTAAGCATTTCAGTCAAGTTGAGATCTGAACTTTGACTAAGCCACTTTTCCAGTCATGCTGTTGTTGATGAACTGCTGCGTTTCGGGTTCTTGTCATGTTCCCGACCCGGTTCTCCAGATTACGCAGGTTCTGTTGCTGCAGAACAAGCCCAAACAGAAAGGAAAGGAAGGAATATTGGAACAGATTTTTCAGGTTTTCCTGCTTCTAACAAACGACAATGCCTGTAACTTTCGTCATGAAAATGCAACTCGCCTCAACTCCATGACACGGAATCTAAAAACAAGAAAATCCCATTGAATTGATTAATTTGCATTTTACTGCATTAGATCAGTGTTTGATACAACAGAAAACTGTAACTCTGATCTTTGGTCCAGAGCCTCTGAGGTCTCTGTACTTCTGGACCAGGTTGGCTCTGGATCCAGTTGGGATGGCCATGTTTATAATCAGTTCATCGTTCAGAGCAGCGAACGTTGCATCATCTTTCTGAAAGGAAATTTGATGTCGTTTGTTCAGAACCACCTTTTTATTCCTAGTTTTAGGTTAAGAAAGAGACAAAAACTTAAAAAGTTTGCAAAATATTAAAACAGACAATTTGCAATCTCAAGAAGAAAAATAGATCTGAAAACATTATTCATACTCGATCTCATTCTGACTTGGGAGTCTAATAAATGGAAAAAACGACTAAGCTCAGCATTTTTTTTAATTGTCTATAGTTAAAAAATATTTGATATTTCTTCATAAGTTTTAGCCAAAGTTGTTCAGAGCCTTTATTGGAGGCAGGTTGGTGGAATCTGATTGGTTGGCTGAGGACAGGTGTCTTTTCTCCAGGTAATGAGTTGAAACCAGTGCAATTAACCCAGGAGGGCTTCTTATAGACAGTCAGTGAGACTCAGAATTGGGCTGTTTTCCCTCCCGGTAGACCCGGTCGACCCGGTTCTACTAGAACCAGAACATCTGCTCCTCCTCCAGCTGCTGTGGTTCTGAGTCAAACCAACCTGTTCTCCTCCTGGCCTGTGGGGGCGCTGCACCAAGAACCACTGAAGGAAACGACACAAAAACCTCTGAAGACACTGAGAGCAACTTCCTTCTTCACCAGATGGAAACAAGATGGAGGCGTCAGATTTTAACGTTGGAGGATTTCTCTTTAGGCTAAAGACCAGGAGCCATTTCTGCTGCTAGCGCTAGGCTAGCACGTTAGCTTTGGTTGTATTTACCCAGAATGCCCTGCGGTGTAGTTCACTTCCTGCTTTTGCATTCAAACCAAACCAGACTTCGTAGTTGCACTACTTTAATTTCAACCCACAGTTTCTACGTTCTGTCAGTTTTTGCTCAATAATATGGTTGCAACATAAATTCTGATTTATTTAATGATTTATTTGCTTCAATTAAGGCAATAGAAGGATCAGAACATTATTGTTTATGTTTGCTTCTTGCTTCCAGTACCTCCCCAGAAACCTGCATGTGGTTTGTTTGGACATGCCTGGACATGAAGGGACGAGTCGAACCGGGGCAGAAGATTACAGCATCCAGGGTCAAGCCAGGCGAGTCCATCAGGTCGGTGCAACGCTTCCATCCGCCTGCAGATAGAGACGGTAGAAACACAAACAAAAATCATTTTCACCACTTTACACTGGAGTCACATTCACACACCGATTGCCGGTAGGCAATTTGGGGTTGAGTGCCTAGGGGCACATCAACATGTGGCAGGAGGAAGCTGGAATCAAACCTACAACCTTCCAATCACCAGACGACTGCCTTACCCACTGAGCCACAGTCGGCCCTCGTTTCACTACTGAAATGACCTCCAGAAACAGCTTTTATTCAGCAAACTTGAATTTTGATGGAAAAGTATCCAGCCTCAGACAGGAAGCTGCTGGCTTTGGACTCCATGTAGCTCACAAATCCCACATGGTCCAAAACTCAACTTTGTTGTGGCTTTAATGTTTTTATTATTTGTAGAGTGTTTATGTGGTAGCAGCTTCGATTAGCAACAATGTCTCCTATGGAGACATTAAAGTATAGATCAGTATGCATCAGAGGAAATGACTGATCACCTGTTGCAGACAGAAACTGGTTGTTTAGCATCCTAGGCTAGGCTAGGCTAGCTTCATTGTTGCGTTTATGAATCTATTTATTAGCTTTTCAGACTGATGTTAAATTGATTATTGTTTTTAAACACACAAGCAGTTTATGTTAGTTGTTGATAAATTACGGCAGTCCATAATCCTCCAGGTGGCGCTAACACTAGTCCCTAAAAAGACAACAACAAAATCTGGGAGAAAACTGCAGAATCAGTTGGTTGTTCAACAACAAAGTAATATTTTTTTGAAAATAGTATCTTCTGTTGATAATTTATTACCCAATCGATGTAAACATAATCAGGATACTTTGAATTCTGCCCCTAAAAATGATCCAAAGTATGAAATAACTAACTACTATAAAAAGTAAGCTACAACTAAACAAGATTTAACTAAAAATTACTAATAGAAACTAGCTAACACGCTCTAAAAACTGATTAAAACTAACTGAATTAAACAGTCACAATAAAACTAAATTATAATGAAAATCCAGAGTTGTTATAACTCTGGCTTCTATATCATGAACCTCCATCAGCATGTTGAAAATGGCCGCCTGTCTGTTTTGTGTCTGCTCAGTTCGTCCGCAGCGTCGGTCTGGATAAGTCGCCGTTCCACCTGGTCGGCACCTCCATGGGCGGGAACGTGGCGGGCGTCTATGCCGGTCTTTACCCGGCTGACGTCTGCAGCCTCACCTTGGTGTGTCCAGCAGGTAAATCTGCAGCTTTCTTCAGGTTTCACTTCCTGTAAACTTCCAAGGCAGGGGTGTCCAAAGTGTGGCGCCAGGGCCTTTTGTGGCCCTTGCAGTGTTTTTGTGTATCAAGAATGATACGAATTTGGCCATTCCATCACAGGTGCAGATGGAAACCAGCTTTTATCTAATTTATTAAACTTGGCTAAATAAAGCAAGTGTTTGAAAGAAAGTAACTCAAATCTTTGGTAGCAGTTTACTTGAATTGGTGGACATAAGACGTGTTTAATAGTGTTATCACGAAGAGTCATTGTGTAAATAATGACACTTTTAATGCTACTTTGCACTAAAAGTGTCAGTATTTACTGGATGACGCTTCATGGCAGCAGGACTGAACATTCATGTTGTTATGTCAGTCTTCGCTCCCCTTCAAATAAAAAGCTACCAAATCTTTTTTTTATATATAAAAGAATAAATTTGTTCATTCAAGCCCATAGAATCTGAAAACTCAGTGAAATTTTTTTTAATACTGAAAATATGTACAATTATTTGAAAGTTTTGGATCTTCAATGAATAACAACATTTTCCACAAAAAACATCAAAATCAGAAAATCAAAAAATTTATATTTTTCTGGCTTCAGAAACGTTGGGTATTTTAATTTTGCATCATTGCCGGTGCTTTCTGCTCCTCCTCGCCTCCCTGCAGGTCTGGATTACCCCACAGACTCCAGCTTCATCGCTCTTCTGAAGGAGCTGGACCTGGAGACGCCCAACGCGCCCAGCAAACCCATCCCGCTTATCCCCACCTCTATGCAGGAGCTGGAGGCCATGCTGAAGCTGTGCTGCTATAAACCGCCTAAAATCCCCCGCCAGGTACGGCACTGAGCCCTCCAGGCTTCCTTCCGCGGCGCGGGCTAACAGACATGGTGCTCTGATTGCTCCTGCAGTTCCTCCGGGGCCTCCTGGCCAACAGGATCCCAAACAACGACTTCTACAGAGAAGGTCAGTCTTCCTGTTTTCACTCCCCATCGTTCCTCAGATTTAAATAAAATAAAGACACAAGTTGCTAAAGTGTTTTATTTTTCATTTCAAGACCAAACTTGTTCATTAAAATGTATTTATGTGAGATTTGTTGGCAGAAATGTGAAAAATGTGGCTGAACTTTTAGCAGAGGTGGGCAAAGTTCCCAAAAATTTGTAATAAGCTCACAATTATGTGTTACTGGGAATAATTTGCGAAAGATTGCAAATTATGAGATGAGACAAATGACCAATTTGCTGGTTATGTGTCTTATAACAAGTTGTAAACTAATCCTGGTGCCATTTCATCAGACAGTCAGTGTCTGATTTTGTTTTTTCTGTTTCCTCTGTTGGTTTAATCTGTGCAAATACTATTTATGCTTAGTGTTCTTGGCGATCGTTGGGGAGAAGTCTCGGTACTTGCTGCAGGAACACCTGAATCTGATCACAGCGCCCCTGCAGGTCATCTGGGGGAAGCACGACCGGGTAAATAAAGCAGTGCTGGAAAGTCTTACATTCAGCTCCCAACATATTAAAATATATTTTCAGAAATCAGAATATCAAAAACATTTGATTCTGTACCCAGTTACACTTTGAATTTAAGTAAATCTCTACAAATGCCCCCACTTTCCCAGATCCTGGATGTTTCTGGAGCCACAGTGATCCAGAAGGCGCTTCCTCACTGCCAGGTGGATTTGCTGGACAACTGCGGTCACACCATTGCCTTGGAGAGGCCGAGGAAATTTGCTAACCTTGTGCTGGACTTCCACAATAAAGCAAAGAAAGAAGCCTGAACGGTGGAGGAGGGAAAACTAGAACTTGCAGCACTTATTTTAACTGACAGATGCGTCTCAACTTGTTAGCAAAAATCATTCCATGGGAGGAATTTGACTAACTTTTCATCTGAAAAATAGTTTCTTTTTTTTCCCTTTTTTATAGGGAAGAAATTATGATTTTAATTTGAGACAAAAAACCAGAACTGAGGGAAAATTCTGATTCCTGACTAATTGTTATTCTTTTTGTAAACTAAAAATATTGATGAATGAGTTAACAGAATGGTTTTGCACAAATATTTCCCAAGGGTTGAAAAATTTAGTAAAAAAAGAAAAATGAAAACTGGGTTTGAGTTTTTTTTTTGCGTGCGGTAACATCATTTGGCCACTGGAGGGCAGCACCCTCCACCGTTTTAACAGCTCTGTCAAAGAGTAAACAAACTATCCAAGATGTTTCGGTCCATGCATTCCCCCCCCAGACACCATATACTATTAGATACAGCGCAACAGATAAGGAATATTCTGATAAACTTTTAATGTAAGTATTTTATAACATACCGAACAAAAATTTGTTTTTTACTTTTTAAAATATATTTAAAAAAGCTATAGAACATAGAAAACGTATCTGAGCAAGAATTTACTGTATTTTTTTTATATAAATGTCCCAAATATTAATTTTATCTCTGGTCAACATAATACAGTTCATTTAGATTCAAAATACTCCAAGAATATCCACGTTAAGTTTGCTGTTTGAGGAAAAACTTGCGATTAAAACGAACAAGATCGGTTCCTGTGACAGAGTGAGACGTCCTGTTTACAGAGAATTGTGAGGTAGGTGCGCATGTGTCGATGACTTTGATGGCGGCAGGGTAAACACGCTGCAGTTCGCTTTCCACGGACATGTAGACGGTAAGTAAAAACAGTTAATGGTGTTCCGTCAGCGTTCAGGAGATCCTGATCCGATCCAGAGATGTTCTAACGGCCTGGAGCTCCACGCTGCTCCGCCCTGACCTCCTCCTGGGGTTGGAAGGTGTGACTCCAGTCTGTCGGTGTTTCAGATCTGTCGATGGTCCAGTCTGAGTAGGACGCTACTTTTGATTCTCCGGGCGACCGTTAATCCGTTCTACAGCTAAAAATTAAAATGTCCTAAAAAAATTCAGCATTTTCTGTCCCTCATTGTGGAAAGTGGTACTCATATACAATGTAGATTCCTCATGCATAATTTTTGTTTTATTTATTTCAAACTACATGCCCTACATTTTATTTGGAATAAGGGTAGATAATAGAATAAATTTTCAGTCTTGATTTCTTGTAATTTTTTTATGATTTTGTTTCTGTAGTTATGAATCTTTTAATTTTCGGAACCGGCTCGTCGTTTGTTTTTATTATGTCCAGCGATTTGCCCAAAAGATTTTTATTAATATAGTTGTTTAAAAATTAGCTTCTATTAGCTTGAATGCTAACAGACTTGATTAAAATGTTCCTATTTCTTCACTGTTCTGGTTCTGTTGAGTCCAATTAATGATCCAGACCCTGAAAAACTTTGAATACATTTCTGTAAATAAAAACCTCCCAATCATTCATTAAAACTAAAACTCTTTGTGCAGGAAAACCTGTTAATACAGGAGCTGTGGTGTGTTCACTGACTGTAGGGAAAAAATGTAAATAATTGCATCCTTCAGGTTTCTGATTTATTCTTTTCTTCAGAGTTTCCAGTCTGTAGAAAATGAGAGCGGGCGCTGAGGAGGCAGAATCTTCTGGGTACCAACGGGTTGTACTGAAGAACGCTTCGCCGCATCACTACCTCAAAGTCCGTCTGTAAGTTTTGGCTGTCTAGATTTGCGTTTGCCAAAGTGGGGGCCGCGGGCCACTGGAGGGCGCTGTGGGGGCTTAAGAAAGTTGAAAGGAAGGTAATAAAAATAATAAAAATAAATAAATAAAAAATAGAATCCCAGAAATGTCTTTATTTTAAGTTCATCATGTTTGCTTTTTGTTAATCTTTTTTTTTTCTTAAAATAATCAAGCTAGAATAGCAGCAAGAAGTGGAAAAGTTTCTGTCAAGACAAAATCCATGAGAACTGTTGATATAAAATACAATTTGATGTGATTAATATAAAATACATATTTTCTTATCAAAAGAGAAGATTGTGAGGAAAAATGGTATTATCTGGTGATAATATATGATCTGATAATAAAAGTTTCTGCCGCAGAACTCTTTGGTGGTCTAAAATCAGACAGTGTAATGTTAGCATTTAAGCTAAATTGATGTACTAATTATTGAATAGTGAATAAAAAAGTTGTTGTTTGCTTACATATCTTGTAGTATTGTCTGTGGGTTTGCTAAGGAGGTCAGAGGTCAATGCTTTTTGGGAATGTTTGTGAACCCTGTGCGCAGGATCTGTTTGCCCGCGTTAAGTCCCATCTCCCCCCCAGGGTGCTGGAGGATGAGTCGGCCAGAGTGAGCGCCATTGACCTGAAGACTTTCATCACTTCCTGCCTGAGGAGTTTGTTCGGAGAGGTGGGATCCACACGGTTCTGTCCGGCCACTTGGGTCCGGACCTTTCCTCTGATAACTCGGTGCTGGTGTTCTTCAGGTTGGAGCGGCGCTGAATGTGGACGTGCTGAAGTATGATGAGGAGACGTTAACCGCTCTGCTGCGAGTTCCCAGCAGGTACCGGTCCGAAGCCGGCTCCGCCCGCAGAACCTGGAGCCGGTTTGGGTTTTTATTTCTATCTTCTGGTTTCTGTTTCAGGGGTTTGGTGAAGCTGTGGAGCTCCCTCACCCTGCAGGGGTTCTACCAGAACCGGGTCTGCGCCTTCAGGGTTCTGCAGGTCAGCACATCTCATTCATCAGTGCTTTTCAAATTTAAAGGGGCAGTATCATGCTAAATCGACTTTTTTTTTTAATTTTCCATCATGTTGTAGCATTACATACCTAGCATACCTAACCTTTAATCTCCATGGCAACAATTCAGCTATTCAAAACCCCTGGTTGGACGTAGCCCCGCCTTCTAGACTCATCTCCTCCCCCACTCAGCTCCTTCAGACTCGCCAGTAGCAATTAGCAAACATCTGCTGAGCTCCTTATAGGAGCTACTTCTCAGAGCAACTGGTAAAAAAAAAAAAAAAAAAAGGAGCCATGTTGGGATGACTTCCTGAAGGAGGAGCTTCAGACAGAGCAGGAGCTTCTTAAAGAGACAGAGGCCCAATTTTAAGGTGCTAAAATACAAAGTCAAATTTCTAACTTTAATAATGGACTTTAGTCAACATCAGTGGATGTTTGTGGTCCCACTTTCCATTAACATTCAACAAAAATAACAATAAAAGTAAATATGACAAATAACAGACTGTGTGTTGTGACTAACGGTTTCCAGTTTAAGAAGATTTAAAAATCTTTCCCTATAAGATTTAAAATGTCCAAAATGATTGGCTGATCATGTTTCCATCTTGATGCTGATTGGCTGATCATGTGAGGAAGGTGCTTGCTGCAGCTCTAAGACTTTTGCTGCGATCTTGGCAAACTTTGTGGCTCCTATCAGCAGGGAAAACCTTGCTGCCCCGCCCATCGCCGGGCGAACAGGAAGCCGTATCAGAACCACTTTCAGCTCAAAAAGTCGGTTTGTTCTCGACTCCAGAGCAGAAATGGAGCCAAAGTGCTGAAGGAACAACATGGATCCGTGATCTGGACCGGACTCTGCTGCAGAACCTAAACTCAGGTTCAGATGTGAGCGGTTCCAGCTGAAATTTTTATTTATTTCTTTATTTATCTTTATCCGACTTAATGTTCTGTTTTTCTTTATTTGTAGAAAGAAGTTTAAGTGTTTATTTCCAACATTTAACTAATAACTATTGATGAAAAATAACCAAAGCGATTTAGCTAAAAACAAATTCTGACCAACATACACAGTTTGCTAAAAGTTTTAGCTTGATTTAATTTTATTTGAGCAATTTTAAATTTTTGTAATGGATTTTATTTAATAACCCAACATAAAGTTCTGTTTATTATTATAAGGGAAAACATTCATTTCCATCATTCAAACTTATAATTGTGGCTTAAAAACTAACCAGAGAATTTAGCCAAAACAGAAAACCTGACCTGCATCAACATTTGCTAAAAGTTTTAACTTGATGTGATTTTATTTGAGTAAAAATAACAGAACTACCATGAAAGCCATAAAGCTTTTAAGTTTCTTCAAGGTGAGGGAATTTTCTAATTTTATTCTTTTATTTGTACAGCTACATGTTCAAGGTTAATATTTATGTTTACTGTATTAGATTTTTTTTTTATTTAACAATCTTTTTATGAACAACTCTTTTTTATTGGTTCACTGTATTTTAAAACATTTATATTGTCAAGTTTCTTTAATTTTTGTTACATATGTTTAATTCATTTTAATATCTATTTTTCCTGTTATATTTCTATTGCTGATTAAAACTACAACTCACTTGAATAGAAATAAACTATTTGCTGACTCTGACCTCATGGTGCGTTCAGGTGTCTCCGTTCCTCCTGGCGCTGACAGGAAACAGCCGCGACCTGCAGCTGGACTGAAGCAGGATGACGTCAGCCTGGACACCGCTCTGCGTCAGGCTGCGCCCTTTCCGCCTCCCTTTGGCCTCGCCCCTAGGACGTCGCCTCCACGTCGGCCAGCGCGCTTCCATCACCAAAGCGTTCTCGGCGCGCGACGTGGAGCTGTTCGCCGAGCTAACGGGCGACACCAACCCGCTCCACGTCGACCCGGCCTACGCCAGCACCACGTCCTTCGAGGCGCCCATCGTCCATGGCGTCCTCATCAACGGCCTGATGTCGGCGGTGCTCGGCACCCGGATGCCCGGCCCCGGCTGCGTCTTCCTGTACCAGGAGATCCGCTTCCCGGCACCGCTCTTCGTCGGCGAGGAGGTTCTGGCCGAGGCGGAAGTGCGTAAAATCAAGATGTCGTTCGCCTTCATTGCGGTGACGTGCTCCGCCAAGGACAAGGTGGTGATGGAGGGGGAGGTGATGGTGATGATGCCTGAGAAGCAGCAGCAGGAGTGACGAAGAAGATGGCGGTTAAATCCGGGTCCCTGACAGCGTTTCTGTCAAGTTTAACTTTATTTAAGTGTTCTGTACGGAGGCCCCTGAGGGACATTCGGGAACGTTTTTTTCTTTTGCGTTTCCTCGCAATAAATTAGCAAACGCATCCCGGTCTGTTCTGTACAGTCACAGTTTAATAAGTTAATTTAAAAGTTCACACGCCTTTAAAGAGCCTCAGTAAAAAAGAAAAAACTTTTTATACATTATTTTCTCTGTCAGACTGTAAGTTTCCCTTCCTCTGTAAAAATCTTATTGAAAATCAGTCTATTAATTGCGTTTTCATGTTTGTGTAAGATTGAGATAGGAAACATCAATTTATTAAAGGACACAGTCAAAACTCAAATGACTTTATTAAACCACGAAAATAACTCAAAAATACTCCAGACAGTATTTTTTTTTCTAAACTTTACAGAAAAGGTGTAAAACTTCAGATATCACACTAACAGATGATGGAAAATCCTTACAATAGACTTTCAGTATTCAAGATGCCGCATGGACAGACTGGTACATTACTGCGTGAGAACGCAAAAGAAAAAAACCCTCCGTGTCCCTTAGAGGCTTCCGTAGATTAGAGATGATAAGCATGTTTGATGTCGGGTTTCTTATGTTAATGCAGACAGTTTTGTGTGAAGTCTTTCATTCAATAAAAAAAAAAAAATTTTCAAATTAAATGAGTCTGTTTTTACTTTGTTTACGTGGAACAACCAGTTATTAGGTGAAGGTTTACCTCACATTTTCCTAAATTGATGTTTTCCCTCCAATTATTTAAAAACCTATTTTCAGATTATCTTTGTGTGATATTTTGATATGAAACATTTCAATTGGGCAAGAAAGCAAGTTAGCTCTACTTTCAGCTCAACCAGGTAAAAATTAATAGATCATATTTTGCCTTATATTTCTCTAAAACATCTGAAGTCCATTGATTAAATGTCAAATTAAGGTTACCTTGTCATTCTCCACTTAAAGTTCAAGAAGTCTTTTATTTTTTGCTATGTTTTATGCCTGTTTATTTAAATTATCGTCTAAAATATTTTCAGTCACTAAAAAGAAAGTCCCTTCAGACAGATTATGAATGAATATGCTTTATTAATCCAACCTCCATCCATCCATTTTCTACCACCCTTGTCCCTAGTGGGGTCAGGAGGTGCTGGTGCCTCTCCAGCGAACTTCAGGCGAGAAGCGGGGTCACCTGGACAGGTCGCTAGTCTGTCACAGACTTTATTAATCCCACAGGGAAAAATAAAGTATATTCATTTAGAAAAATGTTTTCTTAATAGGGCTGGTAGAAGAGTCAACAGATAAATGAATTAAGTATGATCTGATCCGAGCTGAACAGATGACACAGTCAATGGCCAAAAGGGGAAAAAAATCACAGAAGTTCATGACAAACATCTGACAAAGTGATGTACCGGAAGAGTCCATCAGATGGCGCTCCAACCTTGGAAATAATCAGGAACCAAATGGGATTCTGGATGTTTGGATCTCAGTTTGTTTCCATCAGCAGAGCTTTCAACGTTTAACTGCTCATGAAAACAACCAGATGATCATCTGAGTTTCATCAGAGCTGCTGTTTGCTGACTGAGATCTTAATCGGTAAGATTTCTGCTTTGTCCATAGTGGTGATGTAAGGAAACATCTTCTCACTGAAGCTGCGTGCGCTTGAAGGTGTGTATGTGTGTGTTAGTATCCAGATCAGAGAATGTCAGTTTTCCTCTGTCCCAGTCCAGATTCACTCTGATCCTCTGGAGCTTCTTCTTTAATGAAAGAACTGTGGGAGCNACGAAGAGGAGGAAGAGGAAACAGGTGAGAAGGTTTGGATGAAGGTTGAGTCAGGAGGAAGAGGAGGGAGGAAGAGGAGTGGAGATCAAAAACTGGATGACAAAAGTCTTGAGTTTGGTGTTTTTGTCTCAACTATTCCTTTTTTTAAGGACAGTTTTATTTATAAAATAAATTATATAAATATAATTATAATTCATTTATTTATTGTTTTCATTTTTTTTATTTATTTATTTTGGATATTTAAAATGTCTTCCTATTCCATTATTTGAAAGGTTATTAGAAATTAAAGTTTATCGATCTTTGAGAATGTTATATTGCATTATTAATATTGTTATTATTGTTTATTACAATAACTTCTGAGACAATTTATCATCCAGCAAAATGTGTTATCATGACAATAGTTCTCACTGAACAAGAACTAGTTCAGTTCAATCAGAACCAGTTTGATTCTTTTAGGTTCATTGCTTCATGACGTCTGTAGCAGCCTGATCACATCCTGATCTCATCCTGATCTCATCCCGATCTCATCCCGCTCCATCAGAACCAATGAGAACTTCATTGTTTTGTGGAGCTGTGGGACAATATGAACCTTCCTCTGTTACCTTCTGAAGGGTTTTTCATTTTTTGTTTTTCAGAAGTTCAGAAGGGTCCGATGGAGGACGAAGAGGCTCTGGAGGAGGAGAAGAAGAAGAATCTATCCATCCTGCAGAGCGTCCTCGGAACCAGCCAACAGGCCAGCAGCAAAACGTCCCGCAAAGCCAAGCAGTTCAGGTGGGTGTCAGTCTGATTTCCAGCTCCACCTGGACTAAGAGGTGGAGTTTGAACAGATTTAAATCCGTAGTTTTTGTGTCTCCAGAGACGTGTCGGCGCTGCACTACGACCCGAGCAAAGAGGAGCACACTGCATTCGAGACCAAAACAGAAGAAACCAAAAAGGAGAGGTAGAGGAACCACAGCCATCCTATCACTCATGACTTTTCATCACCTGAATCTGTGTGGATTCTGTGAAAGTTTAACTCAGAAGATCCACAAATCATCAGAGCTTTAAACTGGAGTCAGACTCCTGAAGGTTTGTTCTGTTCGCAGTAAGGCGGCCCGCAGGAAGAAGAGGGAAGAGGCTCAGAAGCTGCCTGAAGTTTCCAAGGAGATTTATTTCCAGGTGTCCGGAGACCTGAAGGCCGTGTTCGGCCAGACGAACGACGGCTCTGCTGAGGGAGAGGAGGGGACAAACTGGGATAAAGTGGAGGAAGAAGAGGGAGGAGGAGAGGAAGAACAGCTGCTGCCCTCCCTCCTGTCAGCTGATCCCAGCTCCAAGTCGGAGGAATCCTCTGGATTCAGATTTTCCTTCTTTGGAGACGAATCAGCAGCCGGAAGCGGAGAGACGGGTGAGTCTCATCAGATCCGCTCACCAGACCCACAGATGGAGCAGATCTCTGTTCATCTCTTCAATCTTCCCAACAGCGGAGTACAAAACTGAGAAGATCCAGGCGCCGAAGGTCTCCTGGCACCAAGACCCACGTTTCCATGACAGCAGCTCTGAGGACGAGCTTGAGGAAGATGAGGAGGAGGAGGAGGAGCACGAGGAGCAGCAGAGCAGCGTTGAGGCTAAAAACACAAAGTGAGGGAAAAATCCTGCAAACTGCTGCAGTTTGGTTTTATTTTCTCCAATAATCCAAACCTGAATGTGATCAGAGGAAACCAGCAGGTTTGACTTTGATTTACCAGCTTTCTCGTGATTGGTGGATAAATCTACCAGTAAACAATAAATAACCTGCATTTATTTATCAGTTGTGTAAAAAAAACAACTAACTCAGTTATGGAGTTTCTTCCTTAATAGATCAACACATTTATTCTCTGTAAACACTTTATCTTCCTGTAGTAACGTTTTGCTCTTTGGAGGCTCTGGAGAAGATAAAATAATCACTTGGAATTCAGATTAAATCTCTTCCATTCGTTTTCATCTTTAACAGGGAGGAGACGCCGTCACAGCCTGATTTCTTCTTCTTCTCTTCTGATGACCACAGACTGAAAGGTGAGGTCAGCCTTCTGGGCTCCTTACTGACACTTTATGATGGTTTGATGTTTTTTGGAGAATTAAATCTTTACATCTTGACTTTTCTCTTCTGTTGGAGTTTTTTAATCATGTTTAATCTCAGCTCTCTGTTTCGTCCTTCAGAGGGGCCCAGGTTGTTCTGTCGGACCTCCCAGCTGGAGGAGCAGAGGGAGGAGTGGGAGGAGAGGACCAGCACGCTCAGACAGGTTTCTATCAGCTCCACCAAAAAAAGCTGATCTTAAAGTCCACTTTGTTGCTCTCTAGAGGCAGAATGAATGTGTTTCAGACTGCAGTTGCTTTAAATCAAACAAGCTGCAGAAATATCTTTACATGTTGGATCTGAGATCAGAAGCAGGAAAATGAAAAGTCTGACCCACATGGTTGTTTATCACAGAACATTTCAGCTCTGATCCTTCTGCAGAGAACAGAACAGTCAGAAATAAGTTTCTAGTCAAATAAGGCAGATTTAATAAATACATTTTCTTTTATTCGTTTTCTCAGGAATACCGCAAGAAGCACAGAGACGCCCAGAGGAAGCTGAAAAGCGCTCGGAAGACCAGAGGATCATGGGAAGTGTAGTCTTCCAGTGAGCATGGCTCTGAAGAGTTTTGGTTTCGCTGCTGAGTTTGAACCGGTTCTGTGCTGAACAAAACTTTATTAAAACAAAGCAAAAATAAAAAAGTGTTAGACAGAAACTCAGAAAATAATTTAACAAGATATTTGAAAATATGTCAATACATTTTTTACCCTGCTCACACATTAGTAAAGTATTAAATCTCAAAGTTTTGATCTAATGACTCTTTATTGTCTGTTTTTTGTAAATCATTTTCTTTAATATTTGTAAATTTGTTCAGTTTCATGCAAAAGTCAGGCATGTATTTTAAAAGGTTTCATCCTCTATAAATTACTTGGCTATACATTTTTTTTATGCTTTTGAAGATTAAATATTTGAACAATATTGATTTTTTTCCCCACCATTGCACACTTTGGGTTTCCATAGGTCAGAGTGATGTCAGAAAATGTTATGTTTTACAGCTTCTATGAATTTGGACTCTGGATTCAGATCAACTGACCGACGGGATGATTGAAATAAAACCCAGTTTTATCAAATTCACCCTGAATGAGTATGAAAAGTATAAAAAACTTTTATTCTATAAGTAATTTTTTTAGTTCAGTTTGTGTTTCTTATTGTTTAATTACAAATGTAAATTATACCTTTGGATTTGTGACCTACTTTTGATTTGATTGAAATTAAAACAAGTTTATTAGCGAAGCACATTCACAGTAGCTTTACATTAACACACATATAACACAATTAACACACAAAGTAAGAAACATTACATTGCAGTGACAGAATAAAATGAAAATTATAATCCAGACAAGAATTAATCTTATTAATCAAAGCACCTCTAAACTAATGGATTATAAGCCTTGATTTAAAGCGACTTAGTCATTCAGCAGTTTTCTCCTGACTCACCCTTATTTATTTACTTCTAAACTTAAATGGAAAAAATAAATGAATGACTAAAGATGGGAACACAGTTCACACCACAGTAGAGATTGCTCCATCGTGTTAGAGCTGTATGTTTGCTGCCGTCTCAGGAAGGCAATAAACATCGTCAGAGGCCTCTCTCAATATGGACATGGTCTGGATGAACTTTGGCCATGATGGCATAAAACACCTACAACCAAAAGTAAAAGACTAAAGAAAAATTTAGTGAGAGAAATAACATTACCAATAAAATGAAATGCAGCTATCAAAAATAAAACTTGAGATTTTTCCTCTGTCTAAAGCAACCTCTGAAAATGTATCTAACACTAAAACTGGATTTATAAATGTCACATCCTTATTTTTAATTAATGACTTCATCACTGAGCACAACATTGATGTTATATTTTTAACAGAAATGTTGGATGAAAAAGACATTGATTGAATCTACAGGCATTCAGACAGTAGAGAATATAAATGGGGTTGTTGCATTATTCAATGATTCATTAGGCTGTAAAAAGGGGGCCAAGCTGTTTGATCACTGAGATCTTCATTGGTAAGATCTTAAACTGATCCCAAGTGTTGAAGAATGGAAGCATCTTGTCAGTGAAGGTGTGTGTGAAGGTGTGTATGTGTGTGTTAGTATCCAGATCAGAAAACGACAGCTTTCCTCCATCCCAGTCCAGATTCACTCTGATCCTCTGGAGTTTCTTCTGCACTGACAGATCTATGGGATCAGCTGATGGAGCCTCTGCTGAATAATCACCTTTATAGAATCCTACAGCCAAATAAGACTCTATGTCTGCCTTCCTCTGGACAGACTCTGCTATCACACCAAGTGCCCATCCTTCACCGTCTCCAACTTCAACATCCCAGCTGTGGTTCCCTGAGTTAAAACCCTCAGAGCTCAGGACAGACCGTGACTTAAATCTCTCTGGATTATCAGGAAGCTGCTGTTTGTGTCCTGAAGTCAAACTGGTCAAATCTTCAGACAGGATGACCTTTGACCCAGCGGTGTTTGGGTCCAGAACCAGAGGAGTGTAGGTCACCATGGTCTCCATGTTGCTCCAGATGTTGAAGGCCAGGTTGCCCAGATGTTTGGCCTGGTCTATCAGAGCTCCTGAGGGCAGCTGTGGATCCTCCAGCAGGGGGCAGCACTGGACTCTTTCCACTGCAGCCTTGTAGTTGTGCAGGAATGAGACGTCTGCAGCTCTCAGCTCCTCCTCTGTGGCTCTGCGTCTGAAAGAGCTGCTATCTCTCTGCTCAGAGCCCCCTCCATCTTCTCCTCCATCATCCCTCTCTTCTGCTCCTCTTCCTCCCTCAGTGCAACCAGCCTGGCCTCCTCTTCCTCTGCTAGAAACTGATGAAGCTTCTTAAACTGCTCAACAATCTGCCTCTCTGTGTCCTCGGCCTGCATCTCCATGTGTTCTGCTGACCGATCAAAATCTTCTTGAACTTTCTTTCTGAGCTCTAGGTTCATCTTTAAATTTTCCAGAGATGTTTTCAGATTCTCTCTGTGATCCCCAGCAGCTTCATGGATGGGTCTGAAACTGTGGTTGATGTGATTTTCTGAATCTCTACACATGACACACACTGGTTGCTGATGGACCAGACAGAAGAGTTTGAGTTTCTCAGAGTGCAGACTGCAGAGATCCTCCTCTAATCTGGAAGCCATTTTGTCTCTGAGTGAAGCTGAAAACACAGAAGGTCCAGTCAGTCTCGGCTCCATCCCTCCTCTACTAACTTCCCTCAAAGTGACTCTGAGTGTTTTGGTCCAACTCACCTTCAGTGTGAGCAGCTTGAAGCAGCAGAGTTGGAGGTTTCCACTTTTCTCTCCTGCAGCTGGACTCACTCAGAGGAAGCTGCTAGTTTGGTCTGAAGGTGAATCTGATCGTCTGGGAGTCTCTCTGCAGGAACCAACGATCACAAACTGTTTCCTGCTTTAGTTCAGCTCCAACTGAGGTGTGTTTCACTCCACAATTCAACCTTTCGGCTACTATAAAAGTCACTAATTAACAGGTTTTATATTTTTCTGGTCAGATCAGAAAAAAACCTGTATTAAAGACAAAACTATAATCAGAGCTGCAGTTCAGCTCTGAGTCAAACTGTTTACCAAGATCTTCATCAAGGAATAATCAGCTGACCTTAAGAAAATGCAGAGGCACTGCTTGCAAATTAGATACATTTTATTTGGTTCACCAATTCACAGACATCCTGCACTAAGGGCTAGAGTAATCACAGAATTTATTTTATTTCACAAAAATGGCAAGAGCTAAAACAGAGGCATATGCTGGCCCTGGGAGCCTCATAGCTGAAAGCTAGTTAAAACCCATTTAAATAAAATAGACTAATGGGGGGTTGGGGGGGAGAGATAATAATAGAGAAAAGATAAATACACTTACATGCTCCCTAACAAAAACACACTCACGCAAAAACCCTGGTGAATAACAAAGAAAACACATCTCCTCTCATCTCTTCAGTCTAATAAA